TGATGTATCCCCAAGGAAAGTCACATTAGGGTATTGGAAGATAACAGTAAACACATCATTGGAAAACTGATGAAAACAAGATGAATAAGAGCAGGATCATGTTGAATGAAGTTGAGACGTGAAAACACACACTCCACATTTGTTTTTTACAAGGACTCTTTTTGGCTTTTACACAAGGTCTTACGACGTCTCAGTACTGTATTGTAGGCAAACCTTTATTGACACTTCTGTGATGCTGTATATGATGTAAATGGCGATTTTAAGTTAATGTCATAAAACGTTTATCTCTATATATAAAGACTCGGTGATCCTGAGTTGTTCAGGTTCAATCTGTTATGTTTTAGTATGTTCATACGAATACCGCGAAATACATAGTTATAAGAGGCCCTAATAATGCTTTTCTTGGGTTTTCCCTATCCTGTCAGTGTAAATCGTTTTTTGTTCAATGTAAAATGGTCTGTGTGACATCTCTAAGCGGTTGACCAATCAACCAACAGAGCCCCCCAGCTAACCAATCAGAGCAGACTGGCTCTGGTTTCAGGACAGAGGGTGAAAAGAGGTGCTGCAGCCACAGGCATTGTGAGAAGACAAATAATAGGAGCTTTTCGAAACATTAAAGCATGGAAGACACTGTCCCCAGTAGAGACACTACATACTGACAAATGAGCATAGTGTGTCCTCTTTTCATAACTCTCAAGGGAATCTTTCTGTTTTGTTATCTTTTGGTGATAGTGGGATATTGCAGGTTGTCTTTAAAAACTTGCTTTCCTCTTGTATCGGATGTTGTATATCTACAAGGGTATCCCATGTCATGCTTTTCCGGTTATCAACCCGTCCCTTGTGTGTTGTGGAAGGTTTTTATTCATGTAAACGTTCTGTAAGGCTGTCTATGCGGTGCCCCAGAACGCCTCGTCGGGGATTTATCTTTCTCACACACCACACACACACACACACACACACACACACACACACACACACACACACACACACACACACACACACACACACACACACCACCACACACACACACCACCACACCACACACACACATAAAACCACACACACACACCACACACACACACACACACACAACACACACGGACACACACACACAACACACACACACACACACACACACACACACACACAACACACACACTGCTAGGTGCACCGCGTTTGGGGTGGCGGGTGCTAGTGGAGCCTCACAGATGGGGGTGCTGCAGCCCCCTCAGCACGTCCCCCCTTCCCGGCGTCCATTCCGCGATGTCCTCGCTTGTCTCGCAGACCCCACTGCAGCAAACCAGGAAATGGAAACCAGCTCATACTGGCCGCTCCCTGCAGCAGCGAGCCGTGCTACATCCCGCCAACACGGGCACCCAGACCCCACGCAGGAATTCTCATCTGCTTCTCTGTCTCCGTGTCATTTTATGGTTGCTAACAAACGCCATTGTAAAAACTAATCACTGATGTTCCGCTTGTAACGGTGGTGGACTCATCAGAACAGAGTGGGCGAGCTGACCAATCAGAGCACAGTGCTCGCGGAGGAGGGGGGGCAGGAGGCTCCAACAAGCCGGTTTAGGACAGAGAGTGACATACACATGCCTATCAGAGATCTGTATGAGAACCAATGAGAGTTTGTAACACGCATTGAGCAATGTAAATCTTTCTAGTAGGACCTCACAATGGAATTATGCATCAGTAGAAATGGCCATGACATGGGACCTTTAAGCCTCTAACTGTGTAATATCGATGGCCCAATGCTCAGTTCCCCATTAGAAAAACCACACAAATATTTGCTTTTCAGCTTCTGTATGCGGTGCAAGTACATTTCATAAAATGCATCCAGCTGGTGTGCCCTAAATACTGAAACGCCTCAAACACAGCCAAATTGAGAGCTGTCCCATTAGACTTCAGCCACAGTGAATGTTCACTTGTGCTTCAGGTATTTAATCAACTGGCCACTAAGACACATCACAAGCACAACACCAAGCAGTCAACATCATGTCAGACAGTCAGCGGCTTTCATTAGTCATGTATATAAGGAAAGAATTCTGGTATTTCGTTCGGCTTATAATACTGCTGAGAAATATATCTCTTTACTGTACATGGTTGAATTTAAGTTTAAAGCTCATTTGTTTACCATTTGTCAAAGTAACTGCTCTTTGTTATTCCACACATACTGTAGACAGTGTTTCCCTACAATTGTCTTGGAGGGCGCGCGGGCGCAACGCGAGCCGCCAACGGAGCGCCAACGGAGCCCCGCCAACGGAGCCGCGCCCCCCTGAAATTCAAGGTGTTTTAAATTACTTCTTTTTTTTTTTACAACAAATTGCAATGAATCTATATCTACTGTCATTTTCACATTGGACATGTTGCTCTTTTATTAAATAAACTAAACGCTTTTCATTTTAAGTTGTGAGTTTAGTGTTTTTGACCCTAAGAAACACACTGATGCATTAATCAATAACAATAATCCACAGCTCCTCTCTCTTGCTCCAGAGGGATTAAAATATATACATTCCATGCCACCCCCCCACTCAGGCAGCGCACCGCCCCAAAGCAGTAAACCTAGGGGAAACACTGATATATATAATATTATATATATATATATATATATTGGTTAACAAGTGGAGGACAGACGAGGCTCTTAAATATATATATATAGTATATATACATATATATATATAGTATATAACGTATATATACGTTAGTCATCATTATTTTAGATTTATTCAGAAAGCCAATGTGTCATTTGTCACATACCTAAGGAAATATTCCTGATAATGATGAGGCTGAAGAAAACTTGGATTTGCTGTATCTATTTTTAAGAGCACTGTTTCTAACATTTGACCAAAAGCAGATGGGTTTTGGGCTAAAACTGATATTGAAGCCTGACTCTGTTCCATCCATCTAGCTGGGTAAGCAGGGTATAAACCAATATGTCTTTCCACCAGTGAGTTTCAGTTTCAGTCAGATTACCATCTATTTTAATGTTTTAAAAAAACGTGCATACTTAATGAGGCAAATGTGTCACATCTAAGGCGTTTAAAGGAATGAAAAAATATAACCCTAATATAAAACGTTGTGGTTCATAAATAGGTTTCTCTGATTTAATCAATGCCACAAATGTAGATTTACCATAGCAGACGATGGCTGCACGGGCTCCTCTGTAGTAGATCCTGCTCATGGCTTCATATCGCTCTGATCCCGCTGTGTCCTGAGGGAAAGAAATGTAAATACATCTACAGTAAATGGAGACATGATAAGAAGACTGCTTCCTGTTGTGTTTCTGCTTTTATATGTCTCAGATCTGATTATATTATTGTACACAGGCAACATTCCTACAACCCCCATGCAGGCTTTACATGCCGTTTAACCCCCAGTGTGACAAACTCTGCAGCTGCAAGCTAACTTCCCCTCACTGCTGCAAAGGTTGTGAATCCCCTAAAACTCAGACAAGTTGTTTTGGCATTAAATCAAACTCATATTTATTTATATTTTCTGACACTTTTTTCTCCTTTCCAAGTCACATGCAAACCATGCATAGTACATCCATTAGAGATAATGAGAAGTGTAACACATACATCATTTACAACAGCCTGCGTATGAAAAGTAGCTTCATTATTAATTAGATAAGACTCAGTCAGTGAATGAGATGTCTTTCTCACGTCAACCAACTCTCAAAATCACTTACCAAGTTACCCTATTATTAATCCTTCATTTTGTGCTTATTTGAACTTAATTTGGAAAACAGACCATGGATCAAAAACTTATAAACACATTCTGTTGTGACCGAACAATTAGTAAAAGGTACAGTACAGTAGTTTATGTATATGGAAGAGTATTAGACTGTATTATAATGAAAGAAACAATTAAGAATGAACTTATTGAAAAAACAAAAACAGGAAATGAAAATGGGAAACTTAACTTAATAAGCCATAACTGTTGTATAAAATACATTTGCCTGTGTTATGTTATTGATTAAGGTTCAGTATAATATTCCAGATAATAATTTACTATACAAGGTATCTTCTGACTCACCCATATTCCCAGGGTGATCACCTTCTCTCCCACTTGGATTGGTTTGGCAACAAAAGCAGCACCGATAGTCTGCCGGAGGAAAAACAAGCTTCAGACACTCTCTGTGGATTTATGGGTACTTTTAAACCGAATTTACACAATGACATGTTTGTTAAATAATCCTTAGCATGTAATGACCGAGTGGGTAAAGTGTGGATGATGAGATCTCTTTCTTGGACAACCCTTTATGCCCTTTTACAATGTCTTTAAAAACCAGGACAATATCTTGTGTCATATCACCGTATCAATATAAAATTGAGATATGGCTTAACCATTATTGACAGCTATTGAATTGCTTTTGAACTAAATATAAATATTCTGTTGTGATTGGTCAACCGCTTAGAGATGTCCCGCCCCTTAGCCTATCATATACAATGTGTTGGAGCGCTAGCCCATAGAAGCACAAGTGTTACATAGAAGTAAACAAAGAAGTCCAATGGAGGCACTTCAGGCCGGGGGGAGTGTGTTGGAGAGAAACTCCATCTGGCAGGAAACTTTGCAGATCATTTACATGCACACAAACCTATATAACACACAACAGGAAAGGGAAACCCCCAAAAAGCATAATAGGGCGTCTTAAACCGGGACAAAACCCAACGGTGACTTCTAAGTCCCCTAACATTCCTAGTCTGAAAACTTTCCAAGGATACTTTACCGTTTTATGCAACTATTATGAAAACCCCATGGTGTATTGTCAAACAGGACACGAGAAAGGCGTGTCTGACTAGCTCCAACATTAATATGCAAGAATCCCACAGAAACGCTTGTTTCAGAAACATTACTGCATCAGTTTGTATGAGGACCTTTATGCTTCAAAATTAACACAGACATGAGATACATTTCCACAACCACACTAGGGAAAAATAAAATAAAAAATGCTTTTCATCGTAGGCATGGAAATTGAAGCAGCTGACACTCACGTTCTGGTACGGGCCGACCAAGAAGCGATGGTGGACGTATCTCTCCACCAGGCTGGTCTTCCCCACACTCTCCTTTCCTAGCATCACCACTTTGGCATCCACACGCATCGCACTCATGTTAACTGGAGAGTCGAGGGTCGAGGGAAAGGACAGGAGGAGAGCACAGCAAAGCAAACAGAAGGGGGGGGGATTTTAATGTACACCGATGCTTAATGTGCCGTGAGGTGAAAAGACAAGATACACAACCATTGAGAGCGCTAATGAAGTCAAAAAATACCATTGAATTGAAATAACAAATGTACAAGGGCATACTTTATTTATTTATCTTTATTATACAGGGATGGGAAAAGGGGTGAGATTAATGAGGAAGAACTTGGATATTTTATTATCTAAGACTTAATGTGTTGACAAAAACAAATCTGAGGTTATAAAATACTACATCTACGAGACAAGACTGAGAGGTTCTCTGAGATTAAAGCATATATTTACGAGAAAACTTGGGAAAACATGTTTTTTTTGTCAAGTAGCTACATCTACTTTGTCAGGTCTTGTGTGAGAGGGTAACCCAACCTTGCAAAGTGAAGCGATGTGTTTTCTTGAGAATAAGACCAATTGGGACAGAGAACATTGAAGTTTTTTGTCTTGGTATAATAATATTATTCCGGTATAATATTACCCAGCTCTCCTAGAGGCGCCCTAAAATGCTGTCCTAATAAAGTGGTGTTTGATTATTTTAAGAATAATCATACACATTTAACAAATTCTAAAGTTTCTCTCTAACCTTTTTTACTTCCTCTTATCATCTATGACATCTGTTGGATCTTTACGAAATATTGGAATATTATGTATGTTATGAAGTAAGAAAGTATTAAGTAGAAGAAAAATAAAGTAAAAAAGTTAGTACACTTCTTCAAGTCTAATTAATTCCTAAAACTGGATATGGATATGAATGAAAAGTTATATAATCTCTATTTCTTGCTGACAATTGTTCTGATAACATCTCAATAATGACTAATCAAATATTGTAATCAATGTGACCAAAGCTTTAATTGTCTACGTTTCATTTCAGCTCAACTGTAAATGGATGAATTACTCTCCAAAGTAGCAAACCATTAACTTTCTACATCTCAGAGGGAAAATGTAAGTTTTTCTACACTACATGTAATTGATAACTTCGCAGATTCAGATTAATAAACCAAATATGATGTTGTTTAAATCACAAATGATTAATAAGATAAGATAAATGGTAAATTGACAAAAGAGTTAACATTTACCATCTGCAACATTAAAACGATGAACAGATTATGGCATCAATAACTATAGTCCAAAAGTACTTTTTACACTTTAAGTGCATTTTGAAGGTAATACTTTTGTACATTTACTTAGCTAACATTGATAATAAAAGACGTTTACTTGTAACAGAGTATGTGTACAGTATACTATGATATTACTCGTTATTACTCCAGTAAAATACCTGAGTACATCTTGTCCACTGCCTCACTGGGACAAACATGACATAGCCAAAACAAAACCATTAATATTAACGTTAGCTAACAAAGCTAGCTTCACATAAAAACACTCACCTTGTAGCTAGTTTGAATCAAAAAAATCTTCGTTAACATCTGATCTCCGTCCAGGAACCGAGCCGAACCGGGACTGTCATCCGAGTTGTCGAACCTTTCTGAAGTACAGCCTGTGACCGACCAACCGGCGGATGTTTACTGGCAGCGGCAGCTAGCTAACGTTGCTGTTGCGCAATGGCTGAAATAACAAACCGTCACTTTTAGATAAGAAAAATGCAATAACCGGCACAGGAGTTTGATTTAATAAAACCAGCCTAGCCAAGTGATGAGGATCAGCTGGCCGGAGACGGAGCTGTAACTGACGGGAGGGATTTCTCCATCTGAGCTTTGTTTGTTGGGGTGGGAACCAAAGAGGCGGGTGTTTCCAGGAGATGGAAGTGCCCGATTGCGTGGAACAACCGCCGGATGTGTACAATCAGGGAGGCCGCCATGTTGGACTGGGACACTTGTTTGTTTATAACTTTGTGAAGCTGGAAAATAACTAAAGCTGCCTGAATCCTGTGCAGACTGCTACTGTCAGAACAAAGGTTTATGGGAATTACTTTTCACAGCTAAGACTGACCATGTTATTGTATATGGCAGACAGTTATACCATAATGTTTAATTGGATATTATGGCCATAATAACATAATGTTGTATTAGATTTTGCCATTATAACATAATTTTGTATTGGTTTTGGCCATAATAACATCATGTTTTATTGAATTTTGCCATTATAAAATCCTGTTTTATTGGATTTTGCCATTATAACATAATGTTTTATTAGATTGTGCCATTATAACATACTGTTGTATTGTATTTGACCATAATAACATAATATTTTATTGTATATGGCCATATTAACATAATTTGGTATTGGTTTTGGTCATAATAATATCATGTTTTATTGAAATTTGCCATTATAACATCATGTTTTATTGAATGTTGCCATTATAACATAATATTTTATTGGTTTCTGCTATAATAACATAATGTTTTATTGTATTTGGCCATTATAACATAATGTTTTCTTCGATTTTTTCCCCCAATAACATCATGTTTTATTGGATTTTGCCATAATAACATATTGTTTTATTGGATTTGGCCATTATAAAATAATGTTGTTGATAGCTAGTTATCCACCAGAGTATGACAGCTGAGCATTTATAAGAAGCCATATACACTTTATTGTAAATAATAACGTTTTTCTTATATGATGTTGTTTCCTCCAAAATGATTTATTTGAGAAGGTTTTTCAGACTTATTTGCCGACTTTTCTCACACATCTTAATCTCTATTGATTTTATAATGTACAGTAACCCATTTCTGCAAATATGACCTGATTGTATTATATAATGATAGGCTATTATGTAATAATAAAACAGCAAAAAAGTTTCATATCTGTTATTTTTAAATTAAATATATTCCTGACACTATAAAAAACAAATAATCAATCATAAGAACTAACGATTGCATTGATCGACAACACATATATATTAATCTTTATGTGTCGCTTTTTTGGCACGCAGTCGGAGGAACCCTATTGGTTTAAAGCCGTTAACCGACGCCTCTCGCGCTGCAGCTGTGGTTGGTTCAGGAACCGGGAGCTCTCCCGGTCCCACCCACACACACCGACAGAGAGAGGACCCAACATGGCTGAAGAAGAAGGAAGCGAGGTAACTTCTGGTGGTCTTTTCCAGGAGATCTTCACCTCCCCGCTGAACCTGACGCTGCTCAGCCTTTGTCTGTTCCTCCTGTACAAGATCTTCCGCGGGGACAAACCTCCGGATCTCGGCGAGGTGGAGCCGCAGCTGCCCAAACTCAAGAAGAGAGATTTCACCCTCGCTGAGTTGAAGCCCTACGATGGGCTCCAGGACCCGAGGATCCTCATGGCTGTCAACGGGAAAGTGTTCGACGTCACGCGGGGGAAGAAGTTCTACGGCCCAGGTAACTATTGGGGTAACGGTCACCGCGCGGACCCTTCCGTCGTCACTGCGCAACGACGCCAGCTCGTTGGCGACGTTGTGATATTTTAAATATGCATTGATAAAAAAAACACTTTTTTACCAAATAATACTCGTTTAATTAGTTATTGTTTAAGTGGAAGCTAACGCCACACCCCCTTTAGTTAAAGATCTGAGATCCCGTTTCACAACAGAGGAGCAACTAGCCTTGGGACCACAGATCGTCTATGGAGGAATTAGTGTTACTCCATAGTCAAAAAACAAGTGCATTTGCTGTGGGGCGAATAGAGGATATACGCTCTCTATGTGCATATATACTTGTAATACTCATGTGTCTTACTTCACTAAAAGTAGTTATATCACAGTTCAATAGTCCATTTATTTTCTAACTCAATACTACCCCAATTTGGGATAAAGTACATGTATCTATGTTGTACACCCCCTGAATTCACAATGTATTTAAGGTGTTGACATCAGAATATTTATTACACAAATTACATGTTTTATTGTGCAGAAAGGTCCATTTCAGATTAATGTGATACTATAGATTGATGCATTCATCTGTTTATCACTATATCAGCATATGCCTGAATTGTATTCGCTCTCATGCCTTTTGTGAACTGCAATAAGAGTTTCAGCCAATCACAACAAGCAATGTCCACACTTTATAGAGCTCATTATTCAAATTAAGACAGATTGTTTTCAATATGAATTCAGCTTTGCGAGAGGAGGCCTCATACGTGTTGATCTTTTGCAGTTGTGATAGTTTTTTAACAGAGTAAGTCATGTGTTCTCTGAAATTTAGATTCTGTCCTGTCATGCTTCTTACTTTCAGCCATGTGGAAACGTAAGCAGAGTTAGACCTCTGTTTATTATATCTTATCTGTGATGGTAACCTCTGTTACTTGTAACCTCTGACCAACATGGTATCTAACTGGCATGCACACTTTTAATGACCCTGCACACCCAGCCCTGAAGCCTCTGGGGAGTATTTGGGTATAAAAGTAATTTAGCTATTTTAAAAATGTGTCCATGGGCAGAGGGGTTGGTGCTCAAGGACATTTTGATAGCGCTCAAGGCTGTTGCAGTCAGTTTGACTTGAAATATTAAGGGCTGGAGGTTGTTTGAAAGTGTTGCTCCAGATGTATGTGTGACCATAAGCAAACTTGAATTAAAATCAGTCTTAAACATGGCAAATACTTATTTATAAAGGAAAAATCCTATCAAAGGCTGACTTAGCAGTGCTTCCTTTCATTGTTTAAAGAGTTTCTTGCAGGTTTCTTTTTTTTTTCTACATTTATGCTTAAACTTGCTTGAAAATTACAATTAAAAGTAAGTGAATGTAGGATTTGATATGTTTTACGAGACATAAGGGCAGGAATTCAGAGGGAAAGGAGCAATTTTGAGCTCTGCTCTTAAAAACGGCTTTTTTTTAAGGTCATACGTCAAACGCATCATATTACATAACAAAGGGGAAACATCTCCGCTCTCTGACCGAGGGTATAGTTAGTAGTTGCGTTGAGTTGAGCGGTTGTGTTTTAGTGAGCTGGTATTTTTCGGTAGTTTTACATTGTATTTCACCATTTGTAAT